TAGAGAATGCCAGCACCGCCATGGGAGGAACATCCTACAATTGGCCACCATCCCAGCTCCTAAGTCTTACTTTAAAAAAAATAATAAGTTATAGTCTAATTGGAGAAATCTCACTAAAAAATCCAAAATACTGCCATTCTTGCTTGCCCTTCGTAACTTTAACTATAAACGTAGTAATGAGTTTAGGTACTCACGCTGTGCTGGGTGTTTAAATCTCTGTCTTGCTTCTTGGTACCAGAGAGCCAGTGCTGAGCGCAAGCAGACAGCCTAACAACGTCACCACTAGGGGGCGAAAAAGGACAAGCAGTATCCGTCATGCCAACTAGCCCAGGTCCCAGGTGCGTTACCGAGATGGTCCACCAGGTGCCAGCCAAGAGACGGGGGAAAAAAGACCACAGAAACACGCATAGCAGTCTAACACTTTGAGATCAATGGCATCACCCACTGTCCACAGCGTTTATGCATTACACATCCCTCCAGACACAGCTCTGGAGTCCCCAACACCGCCTTCTCCAGGAAAACCCAACTGCATCCAAGCGTGTTTGGTCTAAAACAGCAAGACCTCGGAGTACAGTTCATCGGGCCTCACAAGCTCAATCTACACAAACGTCTTATGCAGAGTCTGACGGCCAGCACGGCCGCCGAGGTCCACCATCTTCAGCCACCTTTTCCATGCAAGCAGTCCCGTGGCTTGTCAGCCATCTCACCGAGCTAGTGCCCTTCGACTCGGACTGCCAGGACCATGTGCGGCAGCCTTTGCTGTCTTGTTAACCAGAACATTCACAATCAAAAAGAGAAATGACTCAGTTCTTGGCTTTAAGATGCAGCAGAACCACTATGCGGCAAACCAAGGCTTTGCAGCATTCATAATCCCAATAAAATCATTTAAAACATCTATGCACTCTACACTACCTTTCTAAAGCCACCTCACCCCCTTCACTAATTTGTTACCAAGATTTTTTGGGGTGTGGGGAGACCCTGTTGTCAATCAGGTCAGCAGGCTGCCACGTCACCCTCGCCTTTCTGCTAAGGTGGCACTCTGGGCACCGGGTTAGTCATGCCATGCCCTGTGTCGGGCTGCGGGCAGGGTCTTCAGCAAAGGACTGCCTCTTCTCCCGCGGAGGACGCGGCCAAGGCGCTGTCCCTCGTCGTGAGAGAAGGCCAGCCTCCGGGCTGGGACCCGGGCTCGCTGGAGGGGCTGCGGCCCTCTGCACCCTGCCTACCAGTTTATTGCTATTATTTTTACATCCACGCCCAGAGCTCGCCCGCCTCCGAACAGTCTCATCCCTGGCCTGCCTTTTTTTATTATTATTATTGCTTTTTTCCTGTGAAATTCGTTAGCCCAGGCGCAGCCAGCCACCAAGTCGCTGGCCCAACCGGTTCCTCGCTCCCCTTCCCCACCCCCCACCCTCCCTTGCCTCCTCTCATCCAGGGCGGTTGGCAAAACCCCACGGCGCCGGGGCCCGCGCGCGGCCACGCCTGCCTCCTCCCGCGCCCCGGGGCCGGCTGGGCACACCTGCCGCCCGGGCAGCCCCTGCGTGCCCCCTGGCCGCGTCCAGCCGCGGGCACGGCGCGCTCGTCGCTCCTCAGCCGCCGGGGGCGCGCGCGCCGCTCCTCGGCCGCCGGGGGCGAGCCCGGCCGCCGGGAGCGCGCGGGGCGGGCAGCCCGGCGGCGGCGCGGCGCGCGCCTGCGCACTGCGCTTGTTTGTCACAAAGCTGCTGTTAAAGTGAGCTGGCAGGCCCCGGCCGCCCGTCTTTGTACCGAGACCACTGAGACGAGCGCGAGCGCGGAGCCGCAGCCGCTCTGCCGCCCCGACCTGGGAAGAAAGCTCCATGAACTGTTCCTAAAGAAGCACTGATCCTGCCTGCAAGACTTTCTCTTTTAATTTGCTTTTTTTTTTTTTTTTTTTTTCACGGCCAAGACACCGATCAGTGTTCAGTGAAGGTCACATTTTTTAGCGATCTTCACTTTTTTTTTTTGGTCTTACATTCTCTTTTTTTAATAGATTTTTTTTTTGTTACCAACATGGTGCTGGGCAAGGTGAAGAATCTGACCATAAACTTCGACTGTCTGAATGACAGCAATGTCCCCGTGTATTCCAGCGGGGATACTGTCTCAGGAAGGGTGAATTTAGAAGTGACTGGGGAAATCAGAGTCAAATCTTTGAAAATCCATGCGAGAGGACATGCAAAAGTACGCTGGACCGAATCGAGAAACGCCGGCTCCAACACTGCCTACACCCAGAATTACACGGAAGAAGTCGAGTATTTCAACCATAAAGACATCTTAATTGGACACGAAAGAGGTGAGTGGTGCACGGGTCTGCAGACCCGCTGGCTCGCCGTTTGCTGGAGGTTTGCAAAGTTGCGAGGCTGGGGTCCTGGACCTGAAGCCGTCATGCATGCCGGCATCTGCAGAGACTGCAAGCGGCGCTTTCCCGTAGCGCCGGTGCCCGCTCGCTCCGTGCCACGCGCACTGGAGCCCCACTGGCACCTGGCTCGATAATTCTGCCCAAACCCGAGTCCTCCACGGTGCTGAAACGTGTTCGAACGGATTGCTGAAAGCTGAAATCTAGCGTTAGCCCCCCCCCACCCCCCGCTCCCCGGCCTTTACAACCCTAGATCAAAGGCTGAGCTTGGAGGAAGACGGGGAACAATATTTTAGCAGGGTTATTGGGTGCATTTCATCTGAACATTAACACTCGCAAGATTTTTATAAGGAATTGATCATTGCTCTTTGATACAGGGTTTCCCTGGCTCATTTTGACATATGGCATTGCCAACACCCCACGTGTTTTTTTTTTTTAACTGATTCTTTGCACAGCTTTTAGAATTTTACACCAGGCATTCCTTATTGTTAAACACAGCGCCTGTCCTTGCGGCAGGGCTCAAGTCATCCGGGGCCGGCAGCTTCCCTTCGCGAGCATCTTAACTTTGGAACGTGCATTCAATGAAACCCCTGCCAGTCCATTGGAATTGAAAAGTAGACCGCACTTTGCGCTCGGTTTGGGGTTGGAAGAGGGCAAGGGGGTCCTCCGATTCCCCCCTCTATTGTTTAAATGGTTACATTGGAAAAATATAGGAGACTCTAAGCTTGTTTTTCTAAGTTTCCACCCTTTGTTAGAAGCGGTTCAATCCTGTTTCGGACCAGTTCTGGGGGGTGGTGAGGAGGGGCGCTGCTGCAGCTCTCAGCAGATTGGCCGCGCGCGTCAGGTGGTGGCGGTGACTTAATTCCTAGCCCAAGAAGAATATAATGTTAAAACCGGTTATGTAATGTTTGTGCTTCTGCTTTTTAATGCAGCATTGAGTTGAGATGTTCACTATTTTTTTTCAGAAAGAAGAGAGGCCTATTTTTTATCTCCGTTTTTATATCCAAAATATATACCCCGTCTCCGGGGAGTGCTAATGGAACTAAGGCAAGGGAGAAATAATGGGAGCTTTGAGTTACAGCAGTAATGCATTATTAGTTTTTTTTTTTAAATGCTCAGGTACAATAAATTCTTCGGTGGGCTTTCCATAGTTAAACCTAGACAGTTTCGCATCTTGAGATAATTTCCAGTTCGACTGCTGGCACATGCCAAACTACCTTCATGACAGTTCTGGTCTCTGTTGGAAGGCGGACACAGGAGTTCGAATTGGGGCCTTTTCTGGGCATTGCAGCCTTTTATAAAATTGGGAAGAACAAAAGCATTTTTCTCTCTCTCTCTCTGAAGGAGCTGAGACTTGGGTGATGGCACCGTGGGACCGGCGAGTTGCGCGGTCAACCATACACCGTAATCTCACCCACGACTTCGTGGTACAGACCACGAAGCTCCCCGCACCTAGCCAGGACCCCCCCCTCCCCCGCACGCCCCTTCCCCTAAGCCGGGCCACGCGTGGGGACGAGCTCTGGGGTCGGCAAGAGTTTCAATGACTTCCACTGGGAAGCTCTCAAACTAGCCTGGCGGCCGAGGCCCCGCCCCGGGCGGCCGGCGATAGGCGGAGCCGCGTTTGTTAGCCTGTTGCTAAGGCGATGCCAGGCGCTGATTGGATTGGGCGGGCGCGGTGGGGCGAGCGGGGCCGGCCGGCTGGGGCGCGGCTTGGAACCGGCGTGCGCCGGTAAGGGGCCCTCGGATGCCCGCCCCCGCTGCCCGGGCCTTCCCGGCTTCTCGTGGGGCTCCTGTGGGGTGCCCTCCTCGGCCCCGTCTGTCAGGGCGCCCAGGGGAGAAACGCCCCGAGTCTTCCTCACGCGGAGGGCGCGCGCTCCTGCCGGCTTTTACAGGTGTCGCCCCGTCACCGGGGGCGCAAAAATAACACAAATACACCCGCGGGGAGGACCCTGCGTCCCGGGGCGTCAAAGTGGCTTCTAGAAGGGACTCCCCCTTTCCTCTCAGCTGAAACTAAGCTGCTCTTTGCCCAGCTGCCCGGCCTCTCCTCCTCAGTCCGGCTACCTGAGGGGAGAGAGGAGGTGGTGGTGGTGGTAGTATGGCCGGTCGGGGGCGAAAAAAGAAAAAGGGGGTTCCAAACACCCTCCTCTAGGCTTCGGGGGGCCCCTCGGCGAGCGTCCCTGCCGCCTAGGCCATTGTCTGGCCCTGAGCTTCCGCGCCCACCCCTTCCCCGCCATGGCCCGGCCATGGCCCTCGTTGGAAGCATGAAGGTGTCAGGGTGGCCCGAGCCAGATCGAACCGGTCGCCGGCTGGGGCGTGTGCAGCGGAAGCTCCTGCCGCCTGGCCCCGCCCCTCGCCCCGCCCCCGGCGCAGCAGGCTAGGCTGCGCGGGCGCGAGCGCGACGTATGCCGTATGTATAGCGGGGCGCGCGGGCGGCGGCGCGCGGGCGGGCCGGCTGGGATCTGCTCGCGCCGGTTTAGGCCGGTCCTCTCCTGCTCCGGTCTAGTTCTTGATTGACAGCCAGGCACTTGTTTACCACGGCGCGGGCCGGCGCTGCTGCCATCAGAGTGCTGAGCTGGCACAAAAAGGCAGGGAGAGGGAAAGAAAAGGAGAGGAGGGCAAACTTTGGGCGCCTTGGAAGGGCGCGAGTGTCAACGCCCCCCACCCCGAAAGTCCCCAGCTAGTATTTTGCTGCTGTTGTTTTTTGGGGGGGCTGAGAGCCGCCCAGGGGAGTTCCCCGAGGCAGGAGGGAAATATATGGAGATATTTTTAAGCCAGTCACCCAAAGTGTCTGCTCGGAGGTGCTTCACACACACCCGTTCCTTTCCGAGGAAGCCCCTCGTTTTTTTGGGGGGGGGACATGCTGTACTCTGTGAAGTGAGGAGTTGACGGGGGTCCCCGGGGTCCCCCACCACGTCCCGCCGAGGAGGTGTCACGGGCTGAGGGGACCCCTGCCACGCCATCGTCCCCTGCGCCTTCCCTTCCTCCTCACCTCAGCCGCGGCGCGGTGGGCTGGGGGGACGGAGGGGCTGGGAGATGGAGCCTCAGCACTTTAGTTCTTGCGGCTGCAAAGTGGCTTCGTTTTAGACACATTTTCAAGGACGTGGGACGAACGGGTGTCCTGGTACCCAGGCACCTTCCAGATCCGCTCCTCTTACGTCATTGTTAGTTCAGGTACCCTTGCTAGAACTGCCCATTTGTGGTGTTGCTGGGATGCTCTAGTGATTGTTTTAGGGCAACAAAGAATTATTTTTAGCTGTGAAACTGATAGAAAAATCGTGGTTCCTTTTTGTATGTAAGGGTGGCTACTCAATTTTCCAGCCATTTGGGAATCGTAATGTCGGCTGTAATGCACCTCCCCCTCCCTGCCCGCCCCATCCAACAGATTTTAAGGTGTTAACGTGAACGGTGTTTGTGGCGTCCGCACGTGATGAATTAAACATACAGGTAGCATTTTCTTAGTGTGACTTCAGACAGAGCGCTTTTGGCTTTCTAGTTTTGGTCATTTTTTCAAGCCACCTGACCACTGAATTTTCGCTTTCTCCAGGGAAACTGAAGAAGATGGAGCTAGGGCCTAGCCCTCAGCCTGCTTTACCACAGGAGTGGGTTGAGATCCTGGCACCGAGAGGGCTGTATAGAGTCTTAATACAGTTTCTGTTTTTCTTGTAGATGAAGATAATTCGGAAGAAGGCTTCCACACGATTCCTTCGGGAAGGCACGAGTATGCATTTAGCTTCGAGCTTCCACAGACGTAAGTGTTAGCAGGCTTAGGCAGTTGTCACAGGCCCCCGTGGTCAAAACAAGTCTCTGAAAAAGAAATACTTGATGTTTTCGGTTTAAAAAAAAAAGAAAAAAAAAAACCCTTTTCCTTATTGAAATTTGCTAGAGGAAAACAATATGTTCAACCTAAGAAGCAACTTTTTAATCTGTGGCAAAATTATAGAAAAGGAACCTCGATGGTAGGATCCTGTGGCAAAGTTGCTGAGATTTTTATCAAATGAAATGTCTGGGTGCTAGTGAGACAACGGGCACGTCATGCTGTTATTTGCCAAATCTCAGCAGTTTCCGTTTATAACATTCCACGCTTTGCAAAGGCTAGCCGATGGCCTTAACTCATTGAGGTTAAAACAGTTAAAAAAAAAAAAAGTCGTAAGCCTTAGCAGTGATGTTGTCTTGGGAGGATTCTGATCACTTGTGTGCAGAGCTGCTTCAAAGATGACCCAGATGCTAACAGCTGGGCCTGACGGGAATGCATCATACCTCATTACCACCGGGGCCACTATGAAAGGGAGGCGGGGAAGTGAAACAGCCTTGATGGAATAGCAGGTTGCTGGGAGAGATTTACAAACTTTTGGTGTGATACCATATATTAAAACCTGCAGACTGGCACTGAATGCTCACTGTTTAGGAGGATAAACTTAGCAGAACGATGTCCAGTGCCAAAGTACATGAGTCTGTGCTAATTCTAGTCCTTGAGTTGATATAGGTCCAAAAAGTTCGTAACGGGTATTTTTCAGAGTAGTCTAATTACCACAGTTAAGGGCATCATTTTGAACACATTGCTCTCATCTTTCTGAGAAAAATACTAGAACATGAGTATAATGAGGTTAATAATGGACCTGAATATTTTCAGAGGGCATTTATTTCTTAGTTATGAACCACGGTAATATACTCTGAAAAACTGGCATCAAGTTAAAATCTGGGAGTGCCGAGTTTTATTTTTCTGGACCCTGTAAACTAAAATGAGGGTGGAGAAAAAAAAGCAAAAACACCTGTGCTTCTTATGAATATAAGCTAGCATTCTAGCTTGTAAATAATGCAACATTAAATTAGAAAAAGCTCTTCCAGAAGTAATGAAATCTGGCAGAGTTCAAAAACAGCTGTCTCTTGCCACAGGTCAGTAGGTTATATTCTTATGTTTAAGTCTATAAAGTGAAGTTAGGAAAGCTAGCCAAGAAAGAATGAGACCCTGGGTACACTGGGAAATGTAAATCATTTGTTCAGAATTCCAGTGGACTTTGTGAATTGTGAAGTTTTCGAAATGATAATGACTATTCTAAGATTTTTATAGATGTTAATTGTTACATAAAGAGCTAATACTTTCTGGCTAATGGGAAGGGCAACACTGAAAGCTGTTTGGTCTGAATGTTGAAGCAGTGCCCAGAATTTCTCAATAGAGTTAAACCATTCTCTATTTTCAAATTCTTGACCATTTTGGGCATTGCTCATTAAACTTTGATTATTTTGCCACCAGTATTAAGAGTAGCCTCTTCTTAGTTTAAAGGAATTGCATCCTTCTGGCTTTTTAGGACCAAATTTTTATGATACTTATAGTTTATTGCTATGTGAAAGCAAAAGGTTTTTCCCCAATGACTTATCCCTTTGGAAACTTTGAAAGATGTATCTATTTAATGCTTATTGGTACATAAACAGTACGATATATTAACACGTATTCTGACCTACTGTGTAATTCTAGAAGGAGGTGTAAGATTAATATATTGACCTTTATATTCTGCACAGACCACTTGCTACCTCATTCGAAGGCCGACATGGCAGTGTGCGCTATTGGGTGAAAGCCGAGTTGCACAGGCCTTGGCTTCTACCAGTAAAGTTAAAGAAGGAATTTACAGTCTTTGAGCATATAGATATCAACACTCCTTCATTACTGGTAAGAGTGGACTGGATTTTTCATTCTTTGTTTTTGACATTTAAATATGAATGAAACTATGGAATCCTCATAATTTTTAAGTAGTAATTTTAAAATTCCATAAATACATATATTTTAAGTAAAGCTAAAAGCATACAAATTAATGAGGAATATGCTCCTATTTTTGATATGACAGTAACTAAGTAATTTAATACCAGTATATAGAATATGAAGTATCTCTTACCAAGAATATTACCGCAGTATCAAAAAAAAAAACACACCAGATTCCTAGATTCATTTCCTGAATGATTAGAATACAGCAGTAGTGTCATTTATAAAACAATATTGTTCACTTGAAAATGCCATCGTCTAAAATGTGTACTGATTGCATTGTTCCAATATAGGGATAGTGGTCAAATGACGGGGAAGCGTCACTTTGATGGAAAAACTTAATTCCATTTTAAAAGGAATTGTTTTTATGAAATCTGAATTTGACTTCAAAAACTTTGATTTAAGCAAATGATAACATCTTCAAAGGAAAGAATGAACCTTCAACATAAACAGTTTTCCTTTTTTTAAGTACTGAATTTTTCATTCTGAAAAGATGTTAACATTAGGAATTGTAACCATGGAACTCTTGGTGCTGCCTTATCTTAAGGCAGTTTAAGTAGAATATGGAAAGGGTTTTTTTTTGTTTGTTTGGATGCTTGGTTCTTTAATTACTATATTTATAAACAGATTAAAACAACATTTACGGGATAGAGTGTTAAGCCCTCTACCCTTTTTTCTTTCATTAAATGAAAATTTCACTGAATGGAAATTTATATAACGATTAAAATAATGGTTTCATTATGAAGCCATTTAAAGTTTTTAAAAAATAGAATATATATGGGTATAGAAAAGAAATAGTGCTTTTAATTGTATGTTCTCTATAAGTTTAGGATTGATTTTTTAGTCTTCCGGCGGTGTACTAATGCGTGCATTGTTGTTTCTGTGTTTGCCTTGCAGTCACCCCAAGCAGGCACGAAAGAAAAGACCCTGTGTTGCTGGTTCTGTACCTCAGGCCCAATCTCCTTAAGTGCCAAAATCGAGAGGAAGGGCTATACCCCAGGTGCGTGCTTTCTGTCAGGGTCGGCGCGGGCCCCTGGACCTGGGCTGCAGAATGTCCACAGCATGGGCTGTGATTTTGCTGAGTAGCACAAGTTATGTTTAAGCAGTTTCATTTTCCAAATTGTAACATACATGGTCTTTGCAACCAATACAAATGAAAGCTTCATTTTCATGATTCTGTGCTTGGTTAGTCCTGGGACACCATTTTCATCCATGAACTTTAATTCGGTTACTTGAAGAATTCACATCGATTTGGGTTTTTAATGGTAAATACATGTTTGTTTGTTTGTTTTTGCCCTCTAGGTGAATCAATTCAGATATTTGCTGAAATTGAGAATTGCTCTTCCCGAATGGTGGTGCCAAAGGCAGCCATTTACCAAACACAGGCCTTCTACGCTAAAGGGAAGATGAAGGAAGTCAAGCAGCTGGTCGCCAACCTGCGCGGCGAGTCCTTGTCTTCTGGAAAGACAGAGACATGGAACGGCAAACTGCTGAAAATTCCACCAGTTTCTCCCTCAATCCTTGATTGTAGTATCATCCGTGTGGAATATTCACTTATGGTATGTGTGGATTTAAAGTTACGAAGATATTTTGTTTTATATCCAGGATTTATGGATATATACCAGATTCAGATATTTATATAGTGTGAAGTATCTATTGACTTTATGTAGATGTACTATATAGTGTTGGACTTAGAAGAGAAACTTGATGTATATAATCAGAAAATGAAGTAAATGAGGGCCTCAAGTAACATTAAAATTAGATTATTTCCTTTTAAAACATAAGTCTTAGAATCTCTTTGTTGTCTAGGTGTACGTGGATATTCCCGGAGCTATGGATCTGTTTCTTAATTTGCCACTTGTCATTGGTACCATTCCTCTCCATCCATTCGGTAGCAGAACCTCAAGTGTCAGCAGTCAGTGTAGCATGAATATGAACTGGCTCGGTTTATCCCTTCCTGAAAGACCTGAAGGTAATTTACATGTCTAAGCCTAATCTTTTATTGTTATCAAGAATATTTTACTTTGTTTCTGATATTTCATTAGCCAAGATAAACTTAGCTTTCTCTAAAGAGAATATCGTGTCATTAATGCTAAATTTAGATTTCTGTGTTGTATGTCTCTAGTTTTAATCACCAAGTAAATTATTGTTTTATCCTGACATACCATTTTAATACCTACTATTCTGTGTATCTTGACATGCATAAGAACGTGCTGTTCGAATTGCGTGTATCTTTCTCCTTCAGCGCCACCCAGCTATGCCGAAGTGGTGACGGAGGAACAAAGGCGGACCAATCTGGCACCGGTGAGTGCCTGTGACGACTTTGAGCGGGCGCTTCAAGGACCACTGTTTGCGTATATCCAGGAGTTTCGGTTCTTGCCTCCACCTCTATACTCAGAGGTAAGCACTCATCGTGAGGTGGCAGGATCTCCTAAAAACAGCATTGCAGCTTAAAAAACAAAACAAACAAACAAACACAGATGTTGATTATCATGAAAACAATAAGAAAAAATTCAGGCCATCAGATTGAAAGCTAAGATTAGAACTGTAAATTTTACTAAATTTGACACAGATTGTTTAATATTACTGGAAAAATGGATTGTGATCCAGTCTCGTTCATTTTAATTGGTGAAGGGATAATTTCTTATTTTTGAGCATCAACAGAACAAGCATTTTTAAAGCACTGATTAAATAACATTTACAATGATCTCTTAAATCACATTCCCACTATTAAGAGACTGTCTTTATTCGTATCATGTTAGTGTAAATAAAGCACAGCCCTTACTTGGGAGAAGTGCAGATAGAGTGAGAAAAAACAAACTTGGAAGCAAAATCCTACATGAAAAGGTGATGGGAATGTATCTCATTTGAGGCAGAGCTTATTTGGCCCTGGGGTCAGGCGGGGCTGCTGGGAGCAGGGCTCAGTAACCTGGAAAGAGCAGGGCTCAGTCACCTGGAAGGAGCAGACACTACAAGGATGACACATTCACAGTTGCCTGCACGTTCTTCACTAGATTTTTAATTCTTGCTATCCTATTAACTCCAAGTCATAACATTTCTATTATTTGATGCCAAAATGTTCTGCTAGTTGTAAAGGTTTTGCTGCATCTTAACTCTGACAGTACTGCATTGCTTATGAAGTCAGTCATTGCCGTATTAATATAGTTTCATGATGGACCAGAGGGGCCTTTTAAAATAATGGCATTATAAGTATTACTTTATTTATAAGCAGTTCTGCTTCACTTTAAAATAAACCAAGGAAAATTAAGAATTAGTTTAGATAAAAAAGGGTTCAGGCTATATTTAACTAAAAATGTTTTGGGTCATTTTTGTTTGTTTGCTTTAAAAGGTGAAGCATTTTTGCATTTTTTCCATATTTAAATGCAAGTAGATAGGATTAGTCTTGATTAACAGTATTTCTGTGAAATAAATTTTTATGGAAGAAATGTGCCTTTCTGTGACTATAGTCTCTGTACCTGCGAAGCAGCTGATATGCATTCATTTTCTTGAAATTTGCATATATGTGAAAATCACTGCAGGGCACATCCGGGGTGCACGTCTGGGCAGCAGTGCTGCTTCCGGACACACTCGTGTTTAGGCCTGCTGCGTTTCACTTCCTCAGCACCCAGAGCACTGTGCAGCCTCCCTCTTCCCGAAGCCTATCAAGGGAGGAGCTGAGTTTAGTGGGGAATGAAAACGATCTTTCTCAAAGTTCATTGCTATGAAGATATGTTCTCCATTGTGTATTTAAGTCAAGGTGAGGCCTGCATTTAGTGATAACATTTTATCACTAATGTTAGAAACAGAAGGGTTATTCTGACATGTTCTTGGATAGTAGTAAGATAATGGTCAGTATCCTTTTTCCATATATCAAAATACTTCATATGTAAAAAGGAAATAGTTGGTTATAATTTGCTAATTAGTTCATTACAGTTTTCACCAGTGCTCAAAAGTTAGTCATTTGCAGCATTCTTTGTAGACCTCATCGAATAGCTAAATTTTTTCTCAATTCAATTCTTTCCAGATTGATCCAAATCCTGATCAGTCAGCAGATGATAGGCCATCGTGCCCCTCTCGTTGAAGGAACACGTGGGTGAATCAAGTTGATGTAGGTTCTGAACTCTATCTCTTCCGGCTGAGGACACAGAAGTATCTTGGAGACACGTTTTCAGAGGAAGTGGAATGCTTTTGCCCAGAAAAATGGCGAATACATGAAACAAGCAATGATGATGCTCTAGAAGCCTGAACGGCAGCATCTGGGACTGCTCCAGCATGCTTGAAGATCTGAGTTTTCTCCTTTAAGACTGGCACCTACTGAGGGCAGTCTTCTTAGCCTAGGGTCATATGTGGCAAGACACCACGTTGCAAAGAGGGATGATTTCCTTCTTTTGATTTGAAAATTTGCACATGCTCAATGCTTAACATTGTGCGGTTCGATGTCACTACAGCTTTTTTTTTTTTTTTCATTTTTGCCAGACTCTTGATGCTCTTTTAAAACTTGTTTGTGATCAGCACGACAAGGAACAAAAGAAAGCTTTGAGAAAAATTTACCATGAGAAACACGCACTGGCCTTTTGTGTTTTATTTACTGTAGCCTGGACTTGATCTGCGTATGCACATGCTCGGAATCGTCCTCCTCGGCTGACCAGGTGTCACCGCCGCAGCTTGGATCCTCTTGTGGATTTATTTACAGACATCAAATGCCTTCAAGCCAATCCTTTCGCTGTATGTTTTGCAGCCTACTGTAGTAGATACGCAACAGATACGTGGGGGGGAAGCATAAGGGGAGGAGCTAATAAGAGACTGTCAAGGTTGTATACCTTCCTGGTTTCTTTTAAGAATGTGTTGCCTTTCTACTATTACAGCAAAGCAGCATTTTGTTACTGACTGCCTAAAATCACTTAATCTCAGGTGAACGCATCACTTGCCAAACTGTTGGAATGCTATTTGTGTTTTGTTGCACTGTTGAGTTATTTTGTTGTTGTTTATTTGGTTGGCTTTTTGGAGAGGGAAATTTGGAGACGGGACATACACAAAAGTGATAACCCACCCACATCCCCTTTTTATCATTACATAAAAGAAGAAACTAGCAGAACTAAGAGTGGATTATAGAAAGGCAGTGTGGCAAGCACCAGCAAGAGCTGAGGGCTATTGCTCTTGAAAATTATTTTTTTTATTATTATTTTAGAAGTATGGAAATTTACCAGTCACTGGGGAAAGTGCATTTATTTTTATATAGAGCTACTTAATTACCTCCGGAACACATATGTTGGAAATCATTTTTGCTGAGGCATGGTCTTTTAATGAGCAGGAATGTAGAAGTTGAGGTTCACATTGGAGAGCTCAAGTTACACATTTACTTTGCTACTCCATCTTGGCGGAGTGTGAGAACCCAAGTTTATTCCAAAAGTGTATAACTTCGTGATTACAAATGTTGGGATGTTTGCTGGGGTAGCAGCTTCAGTTGTGTGTGGGATAAGTGTACAAGTGAATAAAAATGCTGTTTCCCATTACCTATACAGCAGTTAACGCAAGAAATCACTTATTTTGAGTTTATATAGAAAAGATGGGAAAAGCAGTCATTTAAAGATAATTAACAGTTGGCTCATCACAAATATACCAGCAATCATAACATTTGAAACTACATATTCCAAGGTACCAAGTGTACTGGTTTTGTTCATTCAGGAAGAACTCGGCTCTGATGTTTCTAATGCAAATCAGCATCTCTGATGTTGCAACATATGTGTGAAACGGGTAGTACATCTATCCTCCCATTAACCCCACGTTAATAAAGTGGCTGAAAATAACAGTAACTCTGGCTTGGTGCTTGACCTGGTTAAATACTGTCTTAAAGCTTCATACAAAACAAATAGGCTTTTCCATAAGTGGCCTTTAAGAAAACATGGAAGAAAATTCATGTTTGAAAAATGCTGACAGGGTGAAGAAAGCCCAGTGTAAAATGAATCGCGTTTTAAGTGATTCAGTTAAAGGGTTGGGCTCCCGTAGCAAACTAATATTAGATAATAAGGAAATGGGGGTGAAATATTTTTTTATTGTTGTTAAATCATTTTGTGAATGTCCCCCTCAAAAGAAGCTAATGGAATATTTGGCATTAAGGGCATTTGGTGGTTTTGTTTTTGTTTAGGGGGATTGTCCAGAAAATCCCTTTTCTCTCTTCTCATGTCTAAGACTAGGGAACAATTGTTGATATGCATAGCGTTGGATTATTGATCATCTTACACTCTTAAAAATGACACGTGAAGCAAGAACGACCAATATTCTGATCATTGGCACTGGATCACAAGTTGTGATCATTTTTAAATTTATGAAACTTTGTTAAATAAAGTTTTGTCCACTAAAGTATTTCCTTACTCTCATTTTAGAGGCATTACTTTCTTTTAAATATTGGTCAATTCCTGACATGATGTGAGGTTCACAGCTGTATTCCAGTATTCATGATAGACTCCTGATTTTTCAATTAGGAAAAGATCCAAAATGTTAGCAAAACAAAGTGCAATATTAAATGTTTGCTTTATAGATTATATTCTATGGCTGTTTGTAATTTTTCTCTTTTTTTTCTTTTTATTTGGTGCTGAATATGTCCTTGTAGGCTCTGTTTTAAGAAAACTATGTGGGAAATGATTTAATTATTCCTATTGCTCTTCCTTGTGGAAAATAAAGTTTGTTTTTTTTTTCTTTTTTTGTATAAAATTGTTTGGAAGTGTCTTTGAGTCTTATTATATCAACAATTTATCATGCATGCCAAGACTATGAACATTACAGTTCAATTCCTATCCTGGGGTAAGAACAGCTAAATAGGTACTAGAAAACACTGAGCTTAATGGAATTATAATAGTATCAGTTTAACTTACAATTATGGATTCAGTTTTTTTTTAAGATATATTTATTTTTATTTCAAAGTCAGATATACAGAGAGGAGGAGAGACAGAGTGGAAAATCTTCCATCCGATGATTCACTCCCCCAAGTGAATGCAACGGCAAATGCTGTGCTGATCTGAAGCCTGGAACCAGGAACCTCTTCCAGGTCTTCCAGAGGGGTGCAGGGTCCCAAGGCTTTGGGCTGTCCTCAACTGCTTTCCGAGACCAAGGCAAGGGAGCTGGGTGGGAAATGGAGCTGCTGGGATTAGAACTGGCCCCCATATGGGATCCTGGTGTGTTCAAGGTGAGGACTTTAGCCACTAGGCCACGCCGCTGGGCCCCGTATCCAGTTTTAAATAGAACCTAATTGTAGCCAGGCAAAATAATTTCACATTTCAGTACTTGTTCCCTCTCAACATGAATATCTAGGTTTCCAGTATTTTAGAAGAATACAAATTGAGAAGTTACAGCCTATTGAAAAATTCAATTTTTCTAAAATTTAAGTATGGAAAATACAGACTACACTTTAAATGATGTTTTAGAATTTTTCTCCCGACATTTATGGATTCATGCACTAGTTAGCAAGCTGTGCCTTTCTATTGGATTCCCCAGTAGTTCTTCCCAAATCTGTATAATATTCACATAGAAAGCATGTTGCAAAGACGTTAGATAAATTTTCTGCTCCTTTATAAGCACTTAATTTCATAGAGGTGCTGTCATTTTTGCTCCTTCAGCCATTTCCACCAAAAGTGTGAATGAGAAATTACAGAGGCGAGCAAGGGAGCTGACTCTGGGATCTGTAAGGATAGATGTGGCGTTGAACAGGGGGTGTGAGCCCATCTCCACATCTCACAACTGGGAAAGGAGATTCGGTCCTTTTCATGTGGAAGGTGTAATACGCACTAAGTGAGGAAGTAATGGCCCATACATATTAAGAAGTCATTCTATTATGCTTAGCACACAGTTCACATTAGAATGCTCGGGATTTCCCAGTTTTTGAGTTGGCTACTGTGCTTGCCGTGCTTCATGCCCATCCTGGAAGGAAGCAGATTTTGGCTCAGAGGAGTCCCTGCCACACCAGTGGGAGTCCCGCTTTGGGTTCAGGTTCCTGGTCTGGGCCTGACCCAGCCCTAGTGGAAACAGGCATTTGGGAGCTGAACTAGTGTATGAAAGATTGACTTCCTGCCAGATCCTGTATTGGCAAACACACACAAGAATCAAGTCTGGGATCGCCTCAGATGAGGTTTCTTTGCCAATTATCCCCCAAAAGAACTGCTGGACTCAGAACTCCAACCATAGAAAGAATTGCAGGTTTCATGGCCTGACTGTGAAGTGCATCTGTCAGAGCTGAGCCTCTTCAATGGCTTAGAGCAGTAGACAGTATATCCAGATGCACACGGAGGATATGGCAGTACATTGGAGCTTCCAGAGGACACCTGCTACCATAACAGAGGACAGAGCAAATTGATCAACTACCCCAGCCCAATGTTGGCTGTAAAAATCTGGACAGGCGAAGACTTGAAAGTGGACAATGTCAGCCAGTGGATTCTGGAGAGATTTCATTGTGATTAGAGTTGGGAAATCAACAGCAATTCAGAACCGTTGAACTTTCAAAACTACTGGAACAGAACCCTCGGAGCATGCCCCACGCAAGGGACTCTAGGATAGTTGGGAGGGTGGGTGTGGCTCCTCCCTGCATCTCTCCCCTTCTTCCAGAAACAAGAAGAAAAAAAAAAAGTGCGTAAACAATGGTCTCACCCACTTTCCTCCAGCCCTTGACCCTCTACACTCTAATCAACTATGTAAAACTCATCAAAGGCATGCCTAATTAGGAATAGGCCACTAGACACACAACATTAAAAATAGAATGAATTGTTTTTTTCAAAACAGCCTCAGATGTCACCTTAGACAAATGACAAGATAGTACAAAACAACAATAAAGTTGTTTTGAAATAGCTTCTGGCATTTATATGTTAAAAGCAAATAGTCCTATGTGGAACAAGCAAACGGATCTTAAAAACTTCTGATACAGAAATAGCCAGTTCAAACTAGAAAAGGATTCTGGCTACTTCTATATGTAAGACATACATTCTCACATCAATTTCCTATCTAAATAAGAATGATGAGTACCCTGGCACTTGCTGGTGTCCAGGAGCGCTAATAATGCCAAAAATGAATAGTGAACTGCAGCATGTATGGGTCCATGTACTAGTGTTGCCAGGGAACAAAAGGATGTGAGAAACTCAATTATACTGTCTTAATTTTTCATCTTGTAACATGATGTTAGTTTTCCCAACTCATTCATTTAACTAGTAAGAGTCAAACTATGCTAGGATTATTCTAGTTGATACGAATTTTAGACAAAAGGAAAAATGGTCCGGTCTTTATTCAATGTACGAATGTTTATGTATCAGAAAATTCTTGTCAAATGAATTAAATAATGACAGAAATGCCAATATTGAGAGTAAGAATTCAGTTTCTGGTTCATTTGCTTTTTACTGTTAAAGGAAATCGACATTTCTACCTTCTCCTGAAATGCATGCTTGAAACATTGAGATTGCTTGACACAGCGAATCCCTAAGAGTCAGTTTCAAAGATGGGTAGAATATCAAAAAAAATAATAATAACGGGAACTAAGACACAGCACATGATGCAAGCGACACTGCTCGTGCCCACAAAAGCAAATGCAGAACTGAAAACAACCCAATCACACATTTTCCTTTTTCCAGTTAATTCCAAAGTGATGAGAGCAGAGGGACCAATGTTCCCTCTCTTGCTCGTCTTCCTCCCATTTGGGAAAGCTGACTCCGGAAGCGCTTTGTGAACAAGCAGCCACAGGAGCACCCACTGCTGACCCAGGCAGTCAGGTGGAGAGCGTGTCACTCTTGAGCAGGCTAGTGCTAGCTAAGTACCACGCATCTGGCAGCTTCACATTGCATACACTCATTGTCCCCAAGTTCTGGAGGACACAGGTGCAAAATTCAGGTATGGGCAGAGCCAAAATCACTGGGCAGCCATCCAGGAAAGTGCCTGGCCTGGCCATCATTCTGGTGCCTCTGGTTTGGCGATGCCTTCCTCCCCTCTCTGCCGCTGAGCCCAACTCTGTCACTGTGGCCCGATGGCCTTCTTCTCCCTCTGCATCTGTCCCCTCGCGTGGCGTCCTGCTCTCTGTATTGCTTGCTTTGGTTAGGACACCAGTCACATTGGTTGACTCTGCTCCCATATGGACTGTCTGCATCAGTGGGGACTCTTTGCTGAGAATGTTTGAATTCTGAAATAGTAGGGCCAGTGTTTCAGCACATCTTTTGGGACACACAGAGTAATCCCTAAACAGCCCCCCTTCCCTCCAGGAAAGGAACCATAGGGGACAGTGTAGTGCTCACAGTTCCTGTTTATAGTGGAAATGGTTGGCCCACTCTCTAGAGCAGATTCAGTCTTGAACCATAAAATCAGAATCAACAAAGGAAGTCTTTTCTCACCACCACCTTGCCACTTTGGCTGGAGGCAGGGACAGCTATGGGGAAGCCCACAGAACAGGGGACAGGAAGCCTCACTTCTGGTCCACATCCCCACAGACGTTCAATGAACTTGAATAAGTCATGTAAGTTCTCTCCGGCTCTGTTTCCTGTTTCTCTGGCTATAAAACTAAGGCTTTGCGGGGAAGGGGAGGGAAAGGGGAAGAGGTGCCTCCATCAATATCTTTCTTCCTACAGAACCTGATAAAATGAGGGGGAAATACCCAGCCTTGTGTACAGTCTCTGCTCTTTAAAAGTTCATATTATTCCAAGTTTATGTAACTTTCATATGTCTTAACCAATACCATAGCTGAATATGTAATACAGTTGATCTCATCCCAAAAAATGGTCTATGCTATTGCCTCAGCACTAACTTATTTGACATTGCTAGTTGACCACCATGTTCCTTAAATTCAGCCACAGCCTCAGCCAGGAGCTAGCACTTCGAAAATGTCCCGAGTCAGCCTCGTTTCCTCCAGCTGCTTTTGATTCAGTAAAGCAGAAGAAAATTGCTCTGATTTAGGGAAAATATATTAACTCGTGTAGTTCTTTGAGGTGCTGTTCCTTGGCGTGCTGAAGCACTAGCTTACAAAACAATATCCTAGGATTCAAAGAGCGCTGAGCGAGGAGCATATGTGTGCGTCCACCTTCATCTCCCTCCTTCTGAGCCCATGTGGAGTGATTCGGCAAGTGGAGAAATGCTGCCTGTTTGCTCTTCCTTGGCCCGTCTCATAAACAACCTTCGAACAAGCAGGTGCCATGCATGGTCTCCACATGCACATTAGCTGATTAATCCTTACAATTTTGAACATCGGTTTAATCTGTTTATTAGTTAAGTTTTTCAGGAATGTCTGAAAACTGTCTCACCTCACACAATTGGCAAGTTCAAAGCCACTCCCAAGCAGGAGGGTCTGAACGGGCAGGCCCTAGGCAGTACTGCCGCACCACAGGTGCTGAGTTGCTGATCCTCTTAGCCCTTTTGTCTTCTGAAATCACACCCATCGGCAGGATGGCTGTAACAAGGGGATGTGACAGTGGCGAACATGGCCTGTCACCCACCGGCAGGAAAGGGTTTTGGAAGGTCTCCAATGGGAGGCTTGGCTGTGGGTAGTTCATGGAGACCCAGCAAGAGTCAGAGGCTTGAAGGCAGATGCATTGTCCTTCCAGCCTTCGCCAAAACTGGACTGTCTGCGGCAGCTGCTGCTTTGGAGAAAAAGGCCAGTCAGAGCAGACTGCAAGGGTCAGCAGAGGCCGAGGTGGACTCCAGGGAAGGACCCCACTCCAGCGAGAAACTGGGTCACCAGTCAGTGTCTGCAG